GACAGAGAGAGCGCTGCCCCGCAAACCCAGGTCCATCACCCATCTGTGTCCATCACTCCCAGGTCCGAGCCAGGGTCCATCCCCACCCTGCCCTGCCTGCCGTTTTGGGCAGGAAAAGTGAGGGAATGGGGAACGCACTGATGGAGAATGTTCTTTATTTGGTACCCGCTGTGATCAGGAGATGGGGAAAGAGCAGCACGGCAGGGATATGGAGGGGTTGGAGCATGTCCAGGGCAGGGAACGGAGCTGGGAAGGGTCTGGAGCAGCTGAAGGAGCTGGAAAAGGGCTCAGACTGGAACAAAGGAGGCTCAGGGGGGCCCTTGTGGCTCTGCACAACGCCTGACAGGAGGGGACAGCCAGGGGGATTTGGGATCTGCTCCCAGGAACAGGGACAGGAGGAGAGGGAACGGCCTCAGGCTGGGCTGGGCAGGCTCAGGGGGGGCACCAGCAGGAATTTGCATTAGTAAAGAGATCAAATCCACTCTCACAGGAGCCCAGGAAAGAAAAGCTCCACTTTATAAAACGAGGTTTCATCACACACACACAGAACAGGAGCTCCATTAACAGGAGCTCCCACATGGAAACGTGGGCAGGCGCTCAAAGCCCACCCCGCCCTTGTGACGGGCATTGCAGTAACACAGCCTCGGGTCCAACGACGGGCAGGTGACATTTTCCAGCTCAGAAAGGGCCACAGGAGCCCCTGCAATGTTCTACCTCAGGGTCACACCCAGGTGCTGCTGGATTTCCTCCCGAAGGTGCAGCTGCATCTCCGCTGCCTCCCGGCTGCCCAAGGCCCTGTCACAGGCCTGGAAAGTCACCCTGTAGCAGAGGCTCCTCCGTCCCGTCCCTGGCTGCTGGAAACTGTCCCTCAGCTGGATGGAAACGACCATTTCACCTGACACCCTCCTGGCAAGGGTGTGGAAAGCCACTTCATCAAAGTCCTGCCCACCAGGAAGCCAGAAGCTGACATCATGCACGTAGGAAGGTGGGTAGAGGGAAAAACTCCTGAAAAGCCTCAACTCTCCCTCAGGGAACTGCCTGAGGAAGCGCCTGTCCCACGTCCAGAGCATTCTCCAGTCGGATATTCCACACAGCTGCATGGCCAGGAGGTCCAGGTTCAGCGAGGCTGAGACAACAACCAGCTCCTGGCTTTTTAATTCAGCAGGAGCTGCCCTGATAACGCCCACACAGGAGCCTGGGGGCTCTGGCTCTGTCCCCACCCAGAGGAAATGCTGAACTTCACCAAGCTGCCTTTCAAAAGCAGCAAAGTCACTGAGCTCAGTTCCAAAACTTGGTTCCTGCAGGCTGAAGCTGGGTTTGACACCAGAAGTGCCCTGGTGAAGGGAATTCGTGGTGGTTTTAATGTTCTCCACCAACATCTGCACACAGCTGTCCTCTGTGCCCCTGCTCACTGCAAGCACAACCAGCATCTCATGGAAAGCAGGCATGGAGTGGGGAGTGATCCGACATTTCCTAAAAACGGGCCCAGAAAGAACCTGAAGTGTCCCTGGGGAAAAGGCTCCATTTTTTATCATTGCCTGGGCATGAGGCAGGAGGGAAGGCCTAAGGTAAAACTGCTCGGGAGCTGGGCATCCCTCCTGCCCACTCCCATCTGTGTCCTGGCCAAAACGGGAACACAGAACTGCATCTGCCAGTCCCTGAGATGTTTTCTCAGTGCCTGGAGCCTCCCCGGGGCTCAGGGTGATGCAGAAGATGTTGGAGTGGCAAACACCACCGGGGTGACCTTGCTGGAGCAGGGGAAGGCAGGAGCTGATGTCCTGCAGAGGAAAAGCTTGGCTGAGCCCTGCACTGAGCTTCTCCTTTATTGTCCTTACTGGATGACTTGAATTCACCTCGAGGAAACCCCTGTGAAAAACAAAAGTGCAAATTACAGACACCATCTGTGATTTCCTTCCTGTGGCCATAATTTGAGTGCAACAATTCACCCAAAACATTCTTAAGCCAGCAACCACCAAGCCAAGTCTTTCGCCAAAGGTGTTGCACATTTTCAGGACACGGGTGTTACAATCAAGAATTCACTGCAATTTTCTGGCAAAAAAAAAGGATTTCCCAGTCACCATATCCATTTATCTGACCCCACTGCTGGCCATCCCCACATTCCTACTGCCAAAGAGAAACCAATTATAAAACTCACCTGTTAATTTTATCCACGAGGACTTGTGGCACTTGAAAAGAAACTTTCTGGCTCCCCAGTTGTGTGTGGCAGCTCATGGGTGTGAAACACTGGGGTGCTGAGCTCCGTGTGAAAATGTGGTTCAAAGCACCCTCTACACAGAAGGATTTATCCTGACTCCTGAAAATACACAAAACCAGAGCAAAGTCACTGCTAATTTCTGATATTTAATGTGTATAATATTTAAGTAGAGAGGAGCAGAGGTCTCTGCCAGCACCAACCCCCAGCCCTCCTGTCTTTAGGCTGAGATTGATATTTGTTCTGAAATGGATGCTTTTGACCTTTAAAATCCTCAGATAGTCTTATTTTTAGAGGGTGCTTTGGCAGGAAGCTTGCCTTTTAATCTTGGTTATTCTGCTTAGAGATGAACAAGAACTGCAGCTATTTTGGGGAAAAATCAAAAGGAAAATTTCAAGGAAAATTAAAAGGAAAATAAATTAAAAGGAAAATTACAAGGAAAATATAAAAAGGAAAATTAAAGGGGAATTAAAAGGAAAATTAAATGGAAAATATTAAAAGGAAAATTAAATGGAAAAAATCAAAAGGAAAATGAAAAGGAAAATTAAAAGGAGTTCCTCTCCAGCCAACAAGACACTAAAAGAATATTCTAGCACTGGGGCATTTTAAGAGCACAAACATCAGAATTCCAGTTTGTGATGGTTACCTGTAACCTGTGCATTTGTATCCCTCGATGGTCTCTGCTTTAAAGGGCTGAACGTGGCTCAGGATAAAGCCAGCTCCTGCAGCCACAGCCACGATTTGCCAGCTGTTGTGCCACTCCCTCCTGGGCTGATCCGCAGGAGTCCCTCCCTGGCCATTGCAAAGGGCCACGTGGACCTCTCCCTCCTGGGCCAGCACCTCTGCACAGCTGGAAGGGAAGCCAGAGCAGAAAATCCTGTTAGCATGGCCCCAAAAAATCCTGTTAGCACAACCCCAAAAAATCCTGTTAGCCCAGCCCCAAAAAATCCTGTTAGTGCATCCCCAAAAAATCCTGTTAGTGCATCCCCAAAAAGTTCTGTTAGCACAACCCCAAAAAATCCTCTAAGCATAGCCCCAAAAAATCCTGTTAGCACAACTCAAAAAAGTTGTTAGCACAACCCCAAAAACTCCTGTTAGCCCAGCCCCAAAAAATCCTGTTAGCCCAGCTCCAAAAAATACTGTCAGCACAGTCCCAAAAAATCCTGTCAGCACTTACCCAAAAAATCCAGTTAGCACAGCCCCAAAAA